TTAAATTCATTAATATAGTCGAAAAAAATTAAAATCACCAAAACAAGCCATACTGTTATCATTGCCTTAACAGCCTATTAAAGTCCACTGTTGAACATAGGCCTCCCTCATAAATTGCCTCGTAGGGTGGATATTTGTAATAGTTCCCACGTTTGGCAAGCGGGCAAGCAACCACAGTTTTTTAGTCGTTATTTAAAAGACGCCCATCTCCTGATTCTATCAGGAAACAAGCCATAGTCACTATATAAAAGTAAAGCTGCAGTCCTGGGCACAGGCCCACTTTTATTTCTGAGAGGGTTTAGGGAAAGAAAGTGTTCACTGCGTTCTCCAAATGCATATTGGCGGACATCACGTGTCTTCGATATAATTTTTTTTATCCCGCAAACACGCGTAAATCTGCCGATGAAAATGCAATCAAAAATTTCATTGGTGTCGTCGGGAATCGAACCGAAGGAGTGCTCACATACCGTGAAATTTACAGTGAGCGTTCATAGCCTCTGAGCTACCATGGCTCACTTCTAGCGAGTTACTTATAGAAACTTACTCATTTAAACCGCGTATACCGACAAAATATAATACCATAAACTCAAAAAGAAAGTATTGCATAATAACATCCAATTTTATTTCTTTTATTTTTTGTTAGTATACATTAAGTTACTTTAATGAAGTAAAAATACGAATATAGAAAATCAATCGCCGTAATCATTAACGAATTATTTACATTTTATTACAAGAAAATAACATACCTTTTTGATATGACAATTTTTTAAAATATATCAATACTAAGAATTATAAACTACACAATTCGATGTTTCCATCATTCATATCAAAAATACTATACTGCAATAGAACGTTTCGAGTTGCAGCAACAAAAAATTAAATAAACTACTTGTTGCTATAAAAAGTTTGTGCCATAGAAAAATTTTTCGTGAAAATTGAGCGTTGTATCTCAAAAAAGCGTTCGTTCCAAAACTTTATTTATAAGTATTATTTTATTTATAAATAATTTAATCAACCTTGTAGTGGCAGTGCAAGAATATCCTCTGCTCCATACCATCTCGTAGAAACGACAGAGAGAAACAAATCATAAGGTTAAAATAACTGTTGTTGCCAACCCGCTTGCCAAGCGTGGTAACTATGGCAAATATCCCCCCTATACGGCAATCTATGGGAGAGGTCTATGGTCAGCACTGAACCTTAATAGGCTATAACGGTAACGGCAATCAACCAATGTAGTTACTGTCCACTGTACTTTATATCTATCATAATCTTTATACTTACTCAAGATAATTATGCCGCCATTGGTATGGTCACAAGTTTTTTTTGGCATGTCCCTTAATCTCCTCTTACTACATCCTTATGAAATAGGATGTGGGATTCTCTTTTAGCCTCCACACAGACAAATAATTTTTATTTTTATTCCTTTGAATTTCTGCTGGAAGAGTAATGTTGATTTGTTCCAGAACTTATAAGTTATTTCGTTATTTTTAAATGATGTTCCCCAGTTCAGGTATTAAATTAAATTAATACTTGTTAATATGAATATTGTATGTTTAAGTGTAATAATAAAAAAAAATATAAATTGACACTCGTACTACGTTAAATGTCACGCTGACATTCATTTTCTTGACAGATTAATAAACCTGTCATTCACCCATCAAATTAATCCAATCCAAATGATAAATATATTTAAAAATCGATGCGTAAGTAATCAGGTATCAAATTATGTTTGATATCTGAAAATTTAATCGCCCCCACATTCCAAGCTTTGTCAATTGTAAATGAATATGTAAATACAACGTAAAATATACACATTATGTTAATTTTATTATTAGATAAATTAAATAACTTTACATTGATATCTCGTGATTGCGTTTATTCAATACGAATAAATAATATTTATCTTACATTTAAACATGTATTCCTTGTACTTAATTTATCGAATAATTTCTAAATATCAACTACTTTTTACAATTTTCTTAGGATATGATTTTGTTTTTTCTAAAGAATGAAAAACTTCAATATACAATATTTTGTCATGGTAATATTAACTCAAAAAGAAACTGGGGCTGTAATTTGCTCCATTAATAAGGTATATTTTTAGGTTTAATTCCATCAATTTATACATTTTAGAACCATTACTGCAGTTAAAAGTATATTATGGTTTAACACGAATGATTAATTTACATTTTGATTCTTATTTGGAAATAGATGTAGGCGGCTCTGGCTCACAGCATCTACTTATCATCAGGTGGCCTGGACGTTTGTCTATGTGAAATTTATTTATATGTAAGGGTTATAAGATACAAAAATTATCACTGAACGTAACGTAACATAGTACTATTTTAAAAACACACAAAAATAATGACGACAAACGGCAATCAACTCAGTGATCGTAACTCAGTAGTAGGTATTCAAAGATATTTTTCGCTGTGATCACAGCCCTAGTTCTGACTGTACTAGTATTATTAAAAGGCATAATGCACTCGCAGCCTTATTAAGTAGAGAATACATAATATCAGTTATAAGTAAAAAAAAAAATCGTACGGAAAACTATATCAATATTATCATTACATTATGAACAATGATAATAAATTATAAACAAGAGATATTCCGTTCCTTACCGGGTAACAACAGTTATTAAGCTTAATAGTTTGTCTGGAAAGAAACACTTACAGAACAATGAGATCGCTTATTATATACATACTTAGGTAATGTTTTTTATTGTTTAGCATGTAATGTAGCATTGGTGTACAAACGGTGTACAATTAATAAATAGGTATAATAATTGATTATTATTGCAGATATCTTCCGGCAAATCAGACGCGAGTATTGTATTTGCACGTTGCGTAGGTTTTTTTTTAATGAAATAGGTATTAACTAAGCCCTCTGTTATCGACTATCGAGCTACATACAGTCTGCTGATGCGAGTGGTAATATTTCTTAATCTCTGCATAATATTTATCTCGTTGTTACCTATTGTTTTTCTGTTACATTAGTTCAACTTTTGGCACAAATTATTTCAAATTCAAACGCTTATTAAGATAACGAACAGAGTATAAATTTTACAATAATTTAGAGTGATGGGATGATTTATTGTCCTCATCTTAATTACCTGAATAGGCCGAAATTTTACATTAAGTACAAAACATATAAAATCTCCTTTATTTCTTTGTAGCATGTTTTATTCTAACATTAACATAGTGTTAAAGAGTTATGTAGATCGAGAGATGCAGTGTCAAATAGATGAAATATGTCAACTGAATTTAAATTAAAGTAGAAAGCGTTAAGGGTTATTATAACATTTTATTTGTTTCACATGTTTTTCATCGTTATTCAAAGTCACACTCTCTACTTGATTTTTAATCTGTTCACCTATTTATAATTCAATTTCTTAAAATATCTTAAAACGGAAACAAAATATTGTAAATACCTACTCGTATTAAGTAAAACTTTGTGAAACACGCCACGTTTAGATAAATATAAATTTTAACAAACAGTGAAAATAGAATTCATATTGCTAAAAAAGGAGTTCTTTATTTGCTACTCTTAGGGGTGAAATGATTTTTCTACATTTATGTGGGACCACCTTTGGAATATAACCTATTTAAAAAAAAAGGAATCATTAAAATTTGTTCACAATCTGCGAAGATATCGCGTAACTTACAAAAAAACTTACACTCTCTTTTTGAAAACTGTTAAAATTCATAATGATTTCTTATATTTACGCGAACACTACACATTTTTAAATAAAACTAATTTTACGGATTTTATCGCGTATATTAACTTATTTTTATATTCCCGACGTTTCGAACTGTGTCCAGTTTGTGAACATGTTCAAGATCGTCCCCTCCATTACATTAGATTTGATAGACCACAAATCCTTGCAAAAGAACACCGATTCCTCCCAAGGATGATTCCCGAGGCTATTGAAATAAAAAAAAATACATCCTAATTTCAATAGAGAAGATGGATGGGTGCTGCCATCTGCTTGGTATCCCATAATTAATAAAATCAAATACAAACCCAAGTATACCACTGCTCGACTTCAAGATACTGTAAGCTCATTCTGCGTAAATCGAATCAAAAATTAATATTAAAAAACTGAAGGTAGCCGGGCTAACTATGACAGCAGGACGTCAAACACCTCAGTCCCCCGTGACCACGGGTGCTGGAAAGCACCCGAATCGTCGGGAATATAAAAATAAGTTAATATACGCGATAAAATCCGTAAAATTAGTTTTATTTAAAAATGTGAAAATTCAAATGAATAATTAAATTCAAATGAATTAGGTATTCCTATATAAAAAAAAAACTGCTTCAGAAAACGAAAAGGAATAAAATCGTTTCCAAATTATTTAGTAGTTATTGAAGTAGGCGCGACAAAGTACTAGTGTGTAAGTGTGCTAGTGTTCTAGAAATAAGCGAATATAGCTTATAGAAGCTATTGAATAATTTGAAAGTTTCTTGAAATTGTTTTTTATTTGTTTTTTATTTGTTTTTAATTTAATTTTTTGATTTTTTGAATGGACTAACCAATATAACAAACTCAAGATACAAACTAGGTATGTGTTTTTTTATTGTTTTACGCCAGTGCATGACTAATATATGATGGTAAGTGATGATGCAGCCGAAGATAGTAAACCGCACTGAATTAACTTAAAAAAGCCTATTATTAATATTAATATCCATATGAATGGTAAAATTGAAGTGTTTTAGCTTATTTCATTTAAAAGAATCATTTAAATTTGGTTCAAGCAAATATGTGGCGTAACATAAATAGGTACAAAAATACAGTTGAATTGATACTCTCCTTCTTTTTTAAGTCGGCTAAAAATGTAAATAAATATTAGTAGTTTCATCTATATGATTGGCATCGATCTATCTACAATTTTATTTCAACTAACTCTAATAGTTACCCTAAATTAGTTAGTCTAAATTAACAATTTAAAATAATTTATTAAACTTGTTTTCAACAGTCTTTATTGTCTTTATAAAATTTACACGTGAATTGTAAAATCTCTTCGTTCTTGTTCTTGTCGCTGTTGGTATCTGAAAAATGAGAATGTTAGTTGTAATCATATGTTTTAATATGCGATTAATAAATAATAAATTTGTCATTAAACAATTAAATAAAAATGTAGTAAAAGCGACATCTAGTTACAAGAATCGGAACCAGTGTAGTTTGTAAGAAGCGATTTCATTCGTTACTTTACCGCTAGATAGTGTGCATTTTAAAAATATTGCTTTCCTCCAGTTTTAAGTTTTTTTTTTTAAATAAACACAGAAATATTCCATCTATGGATTAAACTACAACGGAAATAAAACAAAGCGCTAACACTTATATTACAAAATATGGAATAAAGTCTCAACGGTGAGACCGTTTTTGTAATAATCACATTAATTATTATAAAGGTACTCAAAGAGGATATTAATTTATTGTAATATCTTATGCCTAAAATAAGGTACCAAATCTTTATCTTTAGTTATTAGTCTATTATGTTTAAGTTTACGTTTCTTTTAGTGGACAGTTTTAGGGTGACTAACGAGCACATAGTCCACCTGATCGTAAGCGGCTACTGTGACCCATAGATATCTACATCTATCATCAATAAAGACTCAAGATGCAGATGCGTTGTCACCCGTGAGGGGTAAGATGGAATGCCTCTTTGCCAGTAAAAAGGGTATCCGGTTCTACACTAACCATACGAAACACAGCAGCGTTAAGCTGCTATTTTACGCTGGTTTTCTGTGAGAGCGTGGTCTTTCCCCGGTCGAGCCGATCCATTCGTGCTACAACTATACTACTAATATAGTTGCAGCATGGCTCTACCACGTAAAAAATATTCTTCTAAACTATTTTTAGTCAGGTCATTATCAGACAAGCTTACTTATCTATACAAATAAATAAAATTGAAGGGTCTGTTTGTAATGTCAAAATAACAATTTTTTACTAAATGCATATGAAAGTATATGTATATAAAGTTTTTGTCTGTCTGTTTGTTTGTCTATCTGTCTGTCTGTCTGTCTGTCTATATGTCTGATTTCGACGGGACTTTCGCTGGCAGATAGCTGATGTTTTAACAAGTAACTTAGGCCACTGTGCTTAGGCTACTTATATTTTAGAAAAAGAGTCAGTGTTCCGCGCAACATAACTAAAACTCTAAACTACACGCGGGCGAAGTCGCGAGGAACAGCTAGTTCTTCTATAAAAACTATTTCTTTTGTAAATACTTACCTAGTGGTAGGTGTGTGGTGTCGACGTGGGCGGCGACGCGGCGCTAGAGAGCGCGCGTCCACCGCTGATTCCGCACTAGAGTCTGTCACCGCTCGAAAAGCTTCTTCTGGATTAAGAACAGAATAGAATAGAATTACTTTTATTCAATATAGATCACAAGAATACTTATTAAAAGTAAATTAAGCTTTAATACTGATTCGGAAAAAAAAAACCAAAAGGAGTAAAATAGTTTCCAAATTATTTAGGGGTTATTGAAGTAGGGGCGACAAAGTAAGTGTGCTAGTGTTCTAGAAAGAAACGAACATAGCTTATAGAAGCTATTGAATAATTTGAAAGTTTCTTCGTCGTGTCGTCGTGTTTTATTTGTTTTTAATTTAATTTTTTGATCTTTTTAAATGGAGCAATATAACAAACTCAAGATACAAACTATAATATTGTGGTTGTTTTCACTAATTTATGCCAGTGCTTGACTAACATCTGAAAAACAAAACTACCAAGAAACCCAGTGTGACTTTTTTAAACGTTTTTTGACAATAGAATAGTTATTACAATTATGAATTATGAACATTTAGAAAGTTAAACATTAAATATAAAAACATTAGTCCAAAAAGTAAGGACAGTAAGTCATTGGTGGTAGAGCTATGCTGAAGCTATAGTATAGTTGTACCACGAATGGGTCGGCTCGACCGGGGAAGTAACAGACTCTTATTGAATACCAGCGTGAAATAACTGTTCATGCTGTTGTGTTTCGTACGGTGAGTGTAGAGAAACGGAAACTCATTTTACTCGAAACGAGGCATTCCATCTTAGTCCTCAAGTAATGTGTAGTCTTTAGTGACAACGCATTCTACATTATGATTCTTAATCGAGGATAGGTGTAGATGTATATGGGCCACTACGTCCACATAGCATAAGGTGGACTGAGTCCTCGTTTGTCATGTTTGTGAAATAACAAGAAATTTGTTGAAAATAGGAGGTTCAGAATAGTTTTGTAACACTTTTAAAGGAGTATCATGTACGGAAGCTTACATTCAAAGACAATGATAGTTATCGTGATGCAAATATTGAAAATAAACTTATTTCTAAGTATATTAAACATGTTTATTTGGGGTAGCTGTGCGTAGCGAATAAGTGAGCAGAACCTATTCTAGATAGGATTACCTTCGTTTAACTATAATATCAAAGCATTTGACATATTAGAAAGTCATAGTCTGCAATACCATGCGTCAAATTTCAAACAAAGAAACATATTCGTCGTCACCTTTGAGGATTTAAATAGTTTCTCAAAATATTACATTGTAAGAAATTTTAAAACGATTTAAGATTTTTTACGTAGTAGATCCACCCTGCAGCTCTACAAGGTTATTTTGCAATTACCGGCCAAATTTGCAGAGAAGGTTCAGTATAAGTAATGCAGGCAAGTAGTGAAGAAAAATTAATTTAAAAATCTCAAACATTTTGTCATTATTATCTCTTAAATTCAAAATATGTGGTAACGCAATATTTTAGTTGACGTTCATTCATAAATATCTAATATTTATATATTTATTTTATGCACGCACACGTTCGTAAGGGTACCTCGTAGCAGTGTAGCGCATCTCCCCCGCTCTTCCTTCATTTACCGTTACATCGCTAAATACCTACGTCCGCTCGCCCGGCCAAGCCAACAGCTGACAGTGTTTACCGTGACCTCATTACATACGCTGTGTTACCAATGACATAACAAAAATAATTGAAACTACGAAATGTGCAATATTACAGTGTTTACCGTGTTTACAAATACAAGGAATTGACGCACTTGTACTACCAATCGGAGAATAATTTTTGCAGCTAACCAAGGGCTGTTAAACTTTGGACAGTTAAACACTCCGTCACATGGAATTGCAAAACGCAGTCATCGAGTCAAGGACTACAACATTGGGGACGGGAACATCGAGTTTTTCTAGAGAAACCCCTGCACCAGCGATGCAGCTCGAGTTCCAACTTAGCCAGTACGCGTAGATACTACTGAATTCTTCTTGATATCACCCATTTCATTACCAACGTTTATTCATTTAAAAAATTACCGTCCAGTGACATTGGTACCTATTTTATCAAAAATTTTTGAAAAAGTCATGCACAAAAAGCTAATGATTTTTCCTAAATAAATATATCAGAATAAATCCTACTCAGTATGGATTTCAAAAATCAAAATCCACGTCACTGGCTGCTTTTAATTTAATAAAAAATATTTTACAAAATATTAATCACAGACTATTTACTACCGCTATCTTTTTTGACGTGTCAAAAGCTTTTGACTTCGTATCACACGATCAGCTTTTGTTCAAATTAGATCATAACGGAATTAGAGGCTTAGCATATCACTGAATTAAGTCATACATACAAAACAGGCATTAATGTGTTGAGGTGCTAAAACTTGACAATAAGCATGTAACATTGAATAAAACTATTTTTACGGATTTTATCGCGTTTAATTAACTTATTTTATATTCCCGACGTTTCGGTTGCTTTCCAGCAACCGTGGTCACGGGGGACTGAGGACTCCGCGATCTTACGATCTAATAAAGAAATACTCTGAGAAACTGAATCTAGACGTAAATTCGATAATACCTACGTGTGCCAAACCGCCGAAGTTGTATGGGTTACCAAAAATACACAAACCGAACGCTCCATTACGTCCAATAGTGAGTCAGATCGATTCGCCAACTTACAGATTGGCTCAACACTTAGCAAAAGTACTATCACCACTCAGAGGACATACAAGAGCACACACTAAGGATTCATACTATTTTGTCAGTGAGATAAAAGACCTATGTCTTACTGACAATGAAACTATGGTCAGTTTTGATGTTCAGTCTCTATTTACATGCCTACCTGTTGAAGACTGCATCTCAATTATAACTAGGAAACTAGAGGAAAACAACATGCCAGCAGAATATGCAGTATTACTCAGACATTGCCTCACATTTGGCTACCTATTGTGGAAGGAACAGTTTTACAAGCAAGTAGATGGTGTTGCGATGGGCTCACCGGTATCTCCCATTGTCGCCGATATTTTCATGGAGGACTTTGAGGAGAAAGCCCTGCTTACTGCACCAGTAACTCCAAGTTTCTACAAGCGGTACGTAGACGATACTTTCACAATTTTACCATCAGACAAAGTAACTGCATTTTTAGAACATCTTAATTCCATAAACTCTAAAATTCAATTTACTATGGAGTTAGAGGCAAATAATTCTTTAGCTTTCCTAGATGTGTTAGTCATTCGAAATCCTAATAACACCGTAGGTCACACTGTGTATAGAAAAAAGACCCATACAAACCGATACTTAAACGGTGAATCCCACCATCACCCTTCACAGTTAGCTACCGTGGGCAAATCTTTGTTGCAGAGAGCACGAGGGATCTGTGAAAGCAAACACCTGGCCGCCGAGCTTCAGCACGTCAAGCAGGTTCTGCACGACAACAAGCTTCGGGTTCCGCGCCTACGTCACAGTGACCGAGTGAAGCCGGCCACAGTCGAGCGTGTGCCTGCTGTACTACCATATGTCAGAGGTGTCACAGACAAGATTGGCTACATCTTGAAGCGAGCTTCTATTAGAACATTCTTCAAGCCGCCGAAGAAGATTAGTCAGTTCTTACCATCCGTCAAGTGCAATATTCCTCTACAAGATGCAGGAGTATACAAGCTTGATTGTGAGTGTGGTCTCTCATATATAGGGCAAACAAAACGATCAATAAAAACCCGCGTAAAAGAACACATAGCTGACGTGAAGCACCAACGTTCCGGGAAGTCTGCAGATAGAGTCTGCAGATAGATACGCGATCATATCCTAGACGGCCCCCGCCATTACATTAGATTTGATAAACCACAAGTCCTCGCGAAAGAACATCGATTCCTGCCAAGGATGATACGTGAGGCTATTGAAATTAAAAAACATCCTAATTTCAATAGAGAGGTAGGCTGGGTACTACCACCTGCTTGGAATCCTGTAATTCATAAAATTAAAACTATACTCAAGCATACCACTGCAAGACTTCAAGACACAGTTAGTTCATTATGCGTAGATCGGACCAAAATTAATAATTAAAAATCTGAAGGTACTCCGGGTTAACTTTGACATCGGGACGTCAATCACCTCAGTCCCCCGTGACCACGTTTGCTGGAAAGCAACCGAAACGTCGGGAATATAAAATAAGTTAATTAAACGCGATAAAATCCGTAAAAATAGTTTTATTCAATGGGTAGTGTTCGCGTAAATATAAGAAATCATTAAATAAGCATGTAAGTCGAATTTATAGATCCAAATTTAGAAGAAATTCGTTTTACGTTCCACAGGGTAATGTACTAGGTGCACTTTTATTTTTGATATATTTAAACGACTTACCTGACATTACTAAATATAGAAGTACTCTATTCGCAGATGACGTCGCAGTAATAGTCACAACAAATAAAAATATGTCACTGACGAAACATATTTTTGACATTAACGAAACAATATTTGCAGTAACTAAATGGCTATGTAATAATAATTTAACAATAAACTTAAGCGAGCAACGAGCAATGGCAAGACCCGGCAGTACGGAGCATTTCCGACCGGGAGACCGTATGGAAGGAGAAGGAGCTCCACGGGAGGTTCTATGAGACCATTCATGAGCCTTTCGTAGACACAGTCGCGTCCCTCCACTGGCTACGATTCAGTGACCTCTTTGGGGAAACTGAGGGTTTTGTCTGTGCAATACAAGATCAGGTTATTAAGACCAACAATTATCGGAGATAAATCCTAAAGCATGGCACCGTCGACATCTGTCGAGCTTGTCGCCATCCCGGTGAGTCACTTAGGCATGTCATCTCCGGTTGTTCGGCGCTTTCTAACTCTGAGTATTTGCACAGACACAATCTAGTAGCCAGGATTCTACACCAGGAGCTCGCTCTGAAATACGGTCTCGTGGATTGGAAACTGCCATATTATTAGTACTTGCCGGAAGCCGTGCTCGAAAATGACCGCGCCAGGCTCTACTGGGACCAGGCCATCATCACAAACAGGACTATTCTTGCGAATAAGCCTGATATTGTGCTGATGGACCGGGCACAGCCAAGGATAT